GTAGTGGAAGCTAAAACCATGGGTTCCTTTAAATCAGAGCTAGATAAGATTTTAACAACTCTGAGCTATCAGCTAAGTTCTCCCCAAACGAGCTTGATGGGCCGAATGGCCTCCTCTCGTTTGTAAATTTCTTATGTTCTTATGTTCTTTGTTATAAATAGTTAAAAGATCCTCTTGTTCAAGTTCCTTAATTATTTTCTGTGTTTCATCCTTACTGATGTGTAACCCTGTCAGTTTCTCCTCTAAGTTTTTAAGAACTTGCTGCATTCCACTGATATGGATCTCTTTAAATTGCTCAACAATGCACTGTACTGTCGTGGCTGGCAAAAGCAGTTTGGCCTGCAGTTTTAAATAAAATAATACCAAATTCTTTAGAAACGTCTCAGGGCTCAAATCCGGGTGACTATCAAGAGATCTGTGACTATCAAGAGCTGAATTATGTTCATCTTGGACTTGGATGTCTTGGATTTGGACATCAGTATCTTGCCGTGCAAGTGGCTGTGTGACAGATGACTGCATGGCTATGTTTTCTAGATATGTGTGTGGCAAATGATGACCTCACTCTAAAATATTTTAAGCATCCCTCAAAAGGACAAGTAATTTTTTTGCCATTGCGTATGTGTAATCTTAAATGAATAGATTAGATTAGAATCTTTATTGTCATTGTATCAATGAGGCATTGTACAATGAAATTAAAGTGCAATTTCCAGTGCAAAAAATAAAAACACAATCACTCTTAAAACTACTAAGTAAAAACATAAATGAAAATAAGAGCCTGAACACTAAATTGTCATTCCTTCATACACACAGCATATTGCACTTGTCCCCTTAGCCAGTATTGGCATGAAACTTAAAGCTGTAATGTAAACATAACACTATGTTGTACTGTAAACATGAATGGTTCACTAGCTCAAATTGACCACTTAGCAGTGTTCAGCATGGTGATGGCTGTAGGATAAAAAACTATTTCTTAGTGTGTTTGTTTTAATTTTTATGGATCTGAAACGTCTGCCTGAGGGCAGGCATTCAAACAATACATATCCTGGGTGTGATGGGTCCTCAAAATTTTTTTTTGCGTTCCTGAGACAACAGGAGCTGTGAAATTCTTCGAGTGAGGGTAGAAGACAGCCAACTATTCTCTGAGCGACCTTAATAATCCTGAGGAGCTCTTTTCTCTGTGCCACTGTGCAGCTGGAGAACCATGCACAGAGACAGTAGACCATAATGCTCTCTACTGTACAGTGGTAGAAGGACACCAGCAGTTTCTCTTGGATGTAGTTCTTCCTTAGAACCCTCAGGAAGTACAGTCTCTTTTGGGCCT